GTAATATTAATTATGCCGAGAGTTTTTATTATTTATCGCATAATTTATTAAATTCTAAGTCTAAGCCATGGAGAAAGCGTTCGAATTATTATTACAGAAACGAGATAAAAAAATATCCTAAGTCTAAGTCTCGATAAATTACTTTTATCGAGTAATAGAAAAGTCGAAAATTTATTTAATTCCGGAGCAAGCCCATTTATTTTTATTCGGCCCAATTATTCGAGCCATTTTAATTCGGCCAATTATAGTCGAGATAATTTAATTGAGCTATCGTATTATTTTCTTAGCCCACGTAGTATTATAGTTATCGAGCCAAATCATATATTCCGAGCCTAAGTCGTATCTTATTTTAGCCCAAGTCAAGATTTAATGTTTAGGCCCAATGGTAAGCCCAATTTTGAGCCCAAAAGTGGGTTCAAACCCTAATTTTCCACTAGCTATAAATATACCATATTTTCCCCCATTTTTTCGGATAGCAGCAGGAATAAAAAAAAAAAATCACAGCTCAATTATTTTCCCTAAATTCAGCTATTAAAAAAAAAGAAGAGAAAATCGGGAAAAAACAGAGGGAGAGAGAAGAGAACCTTATCTTCTCCATCTCAAAGCTTTCTTTCACCACCACAGCCCGACATCCTCCGTTTTCCGGCGACCAAGCCACCACAGCCAGCTTCCACCGGCGACCAAAGCACAGCCCCGAGCTCACCACCTCGCTGCTTAGACCCGCAACCAGTTCCCGCGTCAAGCTTCCCATTGCGCGCCCCTCTGCGTCCGTACCGGCAACCTGCTACTAACCCGAGTTCACCTCAGGCCGTCACCACCAGCTCCCCTCCTCCACGAACATATCCGTACGACTGCTGTAACCTCGCTGCTCATTTTTTCTGATGACCCACAGCTCTCTGTCTGCAACCATGCAGATCCACGTCGAGCAGCTCCGGTGAGCCCAAAATCGTCGCTGTTCGAATCCCGTCAAGCTCCCAGCTCCGACGACCGTCGTACACCCGAGCCACGCGACCTCAGCGAGCCACAAGCACCCGGCACCAGATCTTTGACCTTTAGCTAAGAACCAAGCTATGAAACATAGAACCGAGACCTTTATCTCATACTTGAACCAGCCCAGTAGATCCGACCCGGTTTCAATAGTCGATCCATTTTTTCTAGTCTTTTCTGATTATTCGATTTTAATTTCGGACACTTCGGGAGGTACGTCGGCTGAAACTCTTTCTCTATGCCTTAAACAAGTATTTAGATGAATTTTAAAAATGACGGGAGGTGATTTCAAGTGTTACATGATTTATTATGAATTTATCGATATAAATAGCATTAAATTCAGAATATATTGCTTGCTGACCGGAAAAATGCGAAACCAACGTGATACATTCCGTTTAGCTGACTTGAGGCCTAGGTTTTAATTTTGTTCTTTTTGGTGCCCATTTTGTATGGTTACCGGATTTTTGAATACGTAGCCGAAATACTCGATTTTCGATAAATATGATAAAGACCTCGAAATGCGATGAAAATTTTATAAAATATCTTTTAAATGTTGAGAATGATATGGTTAAAATTTCATAATTTTTAGAGACTGTTTGGTATGCCTAAAAATTCAGGACTTTAGCTGCTTTTATTGAAAATTATAGATATTATCCAGTTAAGAATTTAGCTGCAGTTGTTGGGCCTAAAATCACTAGAAATCACGTTGAACTTAGAGTTTAAGTTTCGGCTTGAACCGAGATAGATAGCCAGTTGAGTAGAGAACCCTAGTTCGGCCTTTTCCCGGGCAGTCCGGATAAACTCTAGATCGAGTAGAGAAGTTGTGCGTCGGCTAATGTCGTGTCCATGCGCATGTACCTGGACCATGGTTAAGCCGAGTTGCACCCAGTCAGACGAGCAACCGGATGGCTCAGACCGAGCCGCCGACCCAGTTCAATTGAATCGGTCCGGATAGTCTGGACGATTCGAGAATAGCAGTTCGGAATACCGGTTTGAGCGTGAACCGAGATTCTGTATTTTTTCGAACCCAGTCAGATAAATCAGATAAGTTAGATCAGATAAATCAGTTAAGTAGACCAGACATAGAAATATTTAAGAGAACTCTAGAATGCCTCAAAGTCAACAAATCTTTCCAAAATATCTCAAGTCCTCTAAATCCATATTTAATAATTATATAATCAAGCGAGAGAACCTAGTAAGATCAGATAATAATAAGAATCAAGTTTTCAGTTTGAGCCTAGTACTTAGTACTTTCTACTCAATAATTTTTTGTAGCTTAAGGGGAGTCGAGCCTCCGACAGCTACCTTTCAGCCAGCACTTGCATCAGTAGCAGCTTATCAGGTGGGGGTCACGTACTGGTTATACATCGTCTTTAATTTTTGTACCATGTCCGAGGTGTGTAGGAATAGTTTATCACCCAGGGTGGAGGTCGAGCTGGGCCTTGGTGATCCATCCTAGGTTCTGGTGGAGGCCGAGCTTGGCCTTAATGACCCATCAGAGTGTGCACATTAATTAGCGGCCTAGTGCCAAGCGGCTTTAAGCCGAGATCAGATTAGCTTAAGTTCAATTCAGTACCTATATACTTAAAGTCATGATATTGTTATTAACGATGCTGTTTAATTCAGTACTGGTCTTTGCGGAGCATAGTGGTTTGCTCACGCCCCCATTACGTTTTTCAGGTGACAGAGCGATGCGTGGCGCGTGGTCATGAGCAGTCTTTTTGTAACGCATTTTACATGTCATTCATATGAACATGTATTATTATTATGCGTGCATTCAGTATGATACCTTCTGCATTTCAGATTTAGTATGCATTATGAGATATTCAGACTTATGCATGTTTAATGCCTTTATCTCCGTGGTACCTTTATATAATGGATTTGATTAGGTTGCATGTATTATTTACGTCTGCGTGAAAAAGAGATTAAGTTAGTAGCATCCCGCGAGTTTGTATGAGTATTTTCGAAAATAAAGTTAAAGAGTTTTCGAAAATAAAAAGCAAAAATTTCACTATGATTTTATAAATTCTAGAATAATTAGGCGGAGTG